ACTTCGCACAAATATTGAATGTGTGAAATATATCACATGACTGTTCATCTGGGGCATCCGGCACTTATTCTGTATGTATTTTGAGAAAAAAAAAATCGGCTAAATATTAGGATGAATTCCACGAATAATGCATTTTTTATACAGACACCAAAAGTACCTGATATGCAATGTTTTGACTCCATGTCATCACGCGTTAAAACAGAAAAGTGTCACTATTGCATTTATAATCAACATAATTTATGTTATCCATGGAAAAAGTGATACCCAGTTTCTCACGGTGATTATCATTTTATCGCAGGTGATTTTCAGTGGCACTGTTTGGATATACTTGTACAAGATGACGTCATAACCGAGGAGGAATCGTACAAGATATCGCACAATCCGAACTTGATTCATATCAAAGATAAAGTACAAGCTGTTAAGAAACTAGTGACTGTGAACTTGAAGCAGAAACCATCCCGGGTGTCAGCGAAATACAGTAAATATGTAGAGCTAGTCGAAATATGGGAGCAAAGCACAAAAGGCGATGGACCTCCATGTATTAGAAATAAGCTTGTCTTTCTGCAGGAAAACTTAACTTTTCTTAACCGTGTAGTAAACACGTTGCAACAAAAAGGAATAATAACTAGCTACGTAGCCGAACTCATCCGGAGTGAAAGAACTCCGCAAGACGGAGCGAAGAGGCTGATAGAGGAACTTCCACACAGCCAGAAAGCTTTCGTCGAATTCCGCGAAGCTCTCGTTTTGGACCATGAACATGTAGCAAAAGTGTTAAATCCTAACGCTGAACAAGAGAACCCAAATATCGATTCTTCGGACACGGATTCTTTTAGCAGCAGACGCAGCGGAGATCGTACGAACGATGAGTTACAACACTCTGATTCATCGAGCAGTATACAGAGTGGGGATAGTATCGAATCTGTTGAGCCAACGAGTGACAACCATGAGTATCGAGATGACAAGGAAGGGTTAAACAGGGACGGAATAGAGACACGCACAAATCGCAGTGAATTCAACCAGATACACGTTGAGTCCGGTGCACCAGCACTTGGAACAGAGAATATGCGAGATTCACCTGTACCGTCTGCGCATGACACGAAGATTGAATTCAATCAGCCATACAACGACGATAATAGCACAAACCAACAAACATTTCTACACAAGTATCAAGATGGCGGAGAATTGCCAGACATAGTTGAAATGAATACAGAGAAAAATTCCAGTGGAGAAAAGCAGGTACAAGTTGAAGAAACTATTGAAAAAAAAAAAAAATTTGCAGGTGGTATGAAGCCGGAAATGGTCCGAAATCTGAAATGTGTTGACGTCACTGCTACAACCTTGAGAACAAAATGGAATAGAGCCGATGATGGGGTGACGCCATACAGAGTGTCATATGAAGAATACGGCACAGGTTCCGTATCTACGTTTACGCTCCCTGGTTCTGCACGCCAGTACCAATTTGATAATCTCCGTCCTGGAACTACGTACGCTATTGCAGTGACGGTCCTCAATGGCGGCCTGGAAAGTGACGAGGCTAGTCTGTTCATGAACACTTTAAGTTGTCCTGAATCGTCAGATGCAACGTGTGAAGTCGTCGAAAAGGACACATCCACGTCACGTAAATATCAATATTTGTTGTATATTACGTAATACAAAGGATTGTGCAACTTTCATAATTATTTATTCGAAGAAAATCTCGCGAGAAGTAAACTTTCGATTTGTGAACGTTTTTTGAAATCGATCCCTACCCCAGCTGCTTCTGTCTGTTTTCTTCTGCTTTGCTACTGCAAAATAGAGAAAACAGTCGGGGCAGCTGGGATAAAGTGATCCAATTCTGTACGCATTAATTTAACGTAGTTCTAACTACGTGTGATTGGAAATTTCTCATTGCGTCGGCGAAGTCAACTGTGTAGTAATTGTTCATTTCTGTTCTGAATTAAACTTGATTCATTTCATTCCTACCTAACTTTGTTAGTCATACCAGACCATCGGGTAAAATAAGGCGATTTTTTGGCAATGTCTGAATAATATGGCACATTTCCAATGACAAACGACCTCTATCGTCGATGATTGTGTAGTCGGAATAGAATAATAATGTTCACGCCGCGTCTTTTATTGTTTTGATGAGTAGTATTTTAGGAAGACACCTGTTAGAAAGCTTGCTACATAATTAATGCCGAACGAAAACCATATTCGATAGTAGACGTGCCATTTTGAAATGATGTACGGTTAGATGGGTCTGACTTTTATATTACCTATATATAGCTTATAATCGTATATCATTTTTTATATTTCAGAAAAATTTTGTTTAAAGAAGCTCGGTCAACAAGTGTTAGGCAAGTTGCCCGTACTTTTCAACAGAAAGAAATATTCTGAAAATAAAGGTAAGAATGACTTAAGACATGTTTTTACTAGGCGCTATTACACAGACAGACAACGACATTGAAGAACGTGTGTAAATGAGAAACACTGGCGTGGCGTTTGTAACGCCGATTAGTCAAAAAAAACGTGGACTAGATCACACATTCTGAATATTTACACGGCTCGAACACAAAACGCTGATGTTGAGCGCCCTCTATCGTCGTCATGTTCTTTTCAATCGTGAAGTTTTCAATAAATTGTAATCTCTGTTTTGTTGTTACACTGATATCAACTTAATAATATGAATAGTGTTTCTGTTACTACTGGTCTTACTCCTGGCAGGTGATGACCCTGCGTTGGTATAAAGAGTTCACTCATTTGAAATTTAGGCGAGGGACGGAATGAATTAGATTTTGTTTGTAAATTCTTCATTCGCAACAATAAAGCATGGAATTTTATTAATCGATCTCTACCATGACGTTATAAAGACACTGAACACTGGCATATATAGCGCTATTTTTAACAAGAAATATACGTTTGTTATTGTTTTAGTGACTACCCATCCGAACAAGGTTTAACAATTTTATTCATATGTATACTGTAAAAAAAACATTGTCTTTAACAATGTATTAACTATTGGCTCATCTCTTCTTTTAGACAATGGTGGCGCTGTGCAATTCAGCAAGCTTATGGCGCGAGAAAATGATGCAGAGGAATGTTGTCAGTCACCAAACGGAGGGAATCTTCATTCCTCAAGGAGTCGCAATCCCGATGATGATTTACAGGCAGATGACACTGATAGTGAGGATTAACAGCCACATGGCGATTACGGTCGTCTAGCATGTGGATCATCATGGATAATTTTTAATAGAACAGAAATCATCAATAATGGACGATTGTCGTCCGCGGCGACTGACCGTGCTCGATACGAGGCCTATACGACACGAACAAGACATGTAATATACTATAACATTATGTATTTACACGGAATTCGAGCACGCGACGCAATGCAGAGGATGTGAAATGGAATATGTGCCAATCACGGGGTAGTCATGGCTACAATATAAAAAGACACGCCATGTTATTAACTCAGAGTCAGTCGAATAAAAAAATTATACTTTGTGTAATGTGTTCGCAAACTTCAAGTACAATGTTGGCAGTTAACAGAAGAGACTTATTGGACACTTTCTTTCAGTCGAATTTAGCCAAAGAAATTTAATTCAACAATATTCAAGGCGGGCGGAAGTGATAATGATAATAATATCCGCCATTACTATTTGAACTAAGTGGATGGTCAGTGTCCCGGTGATTCCTAGCTATTAGTATTACATAAACAAAAAATAAACGCGGCTCCGAGAAAATGGGATATGGTCGCTTATCAATGTCACTATGTTATAATTCAAATTTTACACAAGAATATTCTGGGTATATAGTTGATTTATGATTAATTACGTCCATCAGAGCCAAAACAAATTGATGTAGCTTCTACTGGGAGACAAATAATCACGTTGGTATGTGAACCACGCGTTTTCCGAATCAAATTAAGTGGAATGACCTATTTTTACTATTATACCATTTCAGTATTTTCAATTCCAAGTTGTCAATAGTTTATTTTATTTAAAAACATATATATTTATCAGGTCATTACTCGGAACTGTAAAGATAGTGGGCAACTCTCTCAGAATTGTTGCATTAATGACCCTCTCTCCGTCCGCCTCATGAATCGGCCCACTTACAAATCAGTATCAATTTACCCAGTGTATTCAAAGGTATATGTTTTTCTGTGTTTAGCCTCTGTAACATGTAAGTCGTATAATTTATTTTTACACTTATACATTCTCAAAGAAACACACCATTTACATCGTTTACTTAACAATGTATTTTAAACTCCGTCTCTAACATAATACAAATACTCAGGAAGTATGTTTTCTTTCTGAAACATACAATAAATTATTTTTTTATATAACCATGAACGTAATTTAAGTGTGTAATTGACTAACAACCAGTTATAGACTATTCACATCGGCATGACCTCAAATGTCCTCGTTCGGCGCCTTTTTTTCTCAGCGGGTAAATTGATAAAATGTCACAAACCGATGAACATTCTTAGACGTGGGGCGTCTACGCATGGTTACCACGACAACGGCAAAAAAGCTACAAACTCGAATTGCATCACATAAGTGTAACATTGCAAAATAATTCAAACATTGTATCCAGTTATCCACAGATGCAAAATAGTTGTTGTCATGGATTCAATTAATTACTAGTAATCGAGTAACTGAACCAAAATGTTTTCGAATTTTCGGGCTGTTGTCATAGGCACTGTAAGCATGTCCAGGGTCAGCACATTGCAGACAAGAAATGTCAATCTATCAGAATTACGAATTTTAAATTCGAGACGAAGTTTATGTCCGCATTAGTAAAACAAACAAAAATACATACAGACGGACATGCGATTCTCGAAGCATTCTGGGTAATTATTTGATTTGATTACAAAAATGGCAAAAAGGAAAATGTACTATTTGTTTAAATGATACGATTGTCCGTGTCAACTTGAAGCGATCCAATGATTTCTGAGTCGAGAAGTCGGACCCGTTTAACAGTAAAATTGTCAGATTGAATTTGCACTACAACAAATATCACACTGATATTAATCTGTCCCTATTTTCTATTTCCGGCAGTTTTTTTGTTTCGAGTTCGTCGCCGGATTCTTCTCTGGCTCCTTTGTTCAGTTTCTTCAATATTTTTTGCTGCTTCGCTGTAATTCGTTTGCAATGACGGGCAAAATGGCGTCCAGCTCTCCGAGACAGTAGGCGATCCGGTTGTCGTATCTTCAACTGTACGTCACTCAGCGGTTTGTCACCAGGGAAAAGTAGGCCTGAAAATACAGAACAAATGTAGACTAAGTTCGAATTGCATCAACCATTATTAGAGAACCATATTTATTAACATATATTAAAATTAAAAATTAAATGGCGTTACCCTTTTCCAAGACTTCTTGTTTGATATTCGCCTTTCGTTTCTCACATCTCCACAAAACCTCTCTGAACTGAGTCACGTGATCCTCTCGATACCTGTCTGCCATTAATGCTATGTCGCCGTTGAGGGTGCTATATTTAGCAAAGTCGTCCACAGCCGAGTCTCCGGTGTCGATACGGCTTGGCTCACCCGATCGCAGCGACGCCTTCTTTTGCAGGGACAGTCCAGCCTGTTGAGATACAATAAAATACACTGAGAACAGAAAAATCTGATTACATAGAGTACGGATTAAGTAAGAACAGATGTTAAAACAACCTCGTTTCTCATATTTGCTGGAATACAAGTGAGTCGGAAAATGGTAGAACTTTTAAAAAGTTGGCGAAGGGGAGGGGGGTCGTGTCATTCACAACCAGAG